AAGTGGGGGAAATGGGTCTTATGTTGTTGAGGCTAGATGGTTTGCCGGGCTTTGGAATTAAGATGACTTTCGCAGTTTTCCAAGCAGGCGGAAGGGAGCCATTGCGCCAGCAATCGTTGATGTAGTCAGTTAGATGGGACACGGATTCATCATCTAGATTGCGAAGGGTTTTGTTTGTGACCATGTCTGGGCCTGCTGGAGCAGAGTGACCATTTAGTTTACAGAGGGCAGCATGTATTTCGGATTTGCTAAATTCTGCGTCTAGTGTGGGGTTGCGGTTACCGACGTAATTGCTGTGTGGACTGACTTGTCCCCTGGAGATGTACCTGGTGCAGAGATAGTCAAGCACATTTTGCTGGCCTTGCTCAAGGGTCTCCGTATAAAGGAGTTTCTGCAGCCGATCCTGTTGGAAAGTGTGGGTGTTGGTAGTGTCGAGTAGGTGTTTCAAGAGTTTCCACGAGAATGGGCGGTGAAGTTGCCCATCCATTGTGTTACACAGCTCAGTCCATTGTTGCCAGCTGAGCATTTGACAGTGCTCCTCTATGGCTGTGTTGAGTTTAGAGATCTTGCATCTGAGGTGACGGTTTAGGCGCTGCCCCTTCCACCGAGCTACGATAGAGGCCTTAGCCTCCAAAAGGTGGGCTAGGCGGCTATCCATGCATTCAGCCGGGGCATCTGTGGTTATCACCCGAGTGGCTGTCTGGACGTCAGTGCATAGGGCTTGCGTTCAAGTGTCAATATCGGTGATGTGCTCCGCTGAGGTGGCGCCGCTGTGTAGCTTACGAAATGCATTCCAGTCGGTAATAGTGAACTCTTCGGTGGGGGCAGGCGCTGCAACGAGATGAGGTAAAGAGATAGCGATGAGGTAATGGTCGCTCCCTAGGTCCTGTTGGGTGTTAGTCCAATGTGCATTGCTGGTATGGTAGGTAAGCGTGAGGTCTGGAGTAGTCCCGGGTGCTGGAGGTACCAAGGCATGTGGGAAAAGATAGATCTGTGATAAGCGTGAGGCCTAAGTTATGGTAATCTTGCCAGAGGTTGCGAGATGCAGCTTCCGTGCGAACGTAGCCCCAACCAATACGGGCAAGGTTAAAGTCGCCGCCGATAAGGAGAGGGTGAGTTCCAGCAACATGGAGGGCCTTCTTGAAGAGAGTGAGGAATCGACACTTTTCTTTGTTCTTGGGGCTATTGTAAACATTTAAAAGAAAGATGCATTCTTTCCATTTACGGTTGGGAAATAATTCGAGGAACAGGTGTTCGATGTAAGGGCTATGGAGATCATGTTCAATAACGGGATGCGACTCCGTTCTAGGGTGGAAACTCGACGACGTGGGTGAGTTGTTTGGAATGTTTGATAACCGGGGTGTGTGGTGGGGGCGTTGTTCATTTCTTGGAGTAGAATATCATCAGGGCGGCTATGTTGACGTAGGTATTAAGGACCGATCGTTTCTGGTGAAATCCCCGGCAGTACCACTGCCAAACAAGGGTGCCTTGCTTAGTGCGGGCCATTGTAGGAAATGGGGGATGTCGCCAACGGCGTCCCAGAAGGGTCGCACACGGGCACAGCTTGGCTAGAAGGCGTAAGAACATGATTTTACTAGTTCGTCACTCGTTGAACAATGACCATCGGAAGGTGCTGGATGGTGTCGAGCGCTTGTTGGAGAGTACTCATAGATAGTCGTTTGAAGTGCGATGAGCATGTCCTTAACCTCAGAACGGACTTGGCTCGTGGCTCCATCTTGCAGAGCTCTCCTTTTGGGGGCAGGAGTCAAAGATGCCTCCTGACTATGGGTAGAGGTTTCCTGAGCGGTAGGTGTGGGAGTTGGCGTCTGAGTTTGTTTGAGGGCTTTAACCCCCTGCGTCAGTTTGGTGAAGAGATCGCGGAGGTTCACGTTCTCGCGCTTGAGTTGAGCTATTTCTGGGTTGTCTGGCAAAGGAGGAGGGGCGGTAGCTTGAGTGTTGTTTGCGTTACGACCCTTTCGCGAGGTGCCCTTGAGGGTCTCTGCGAAGCTCACCTTGGTATTGTTGGTAGATTTCCTGCCTGATCCTGATGCGGACCGGGATCTTGAGCATGGTTGCCTGGACCGAGATGGAGTTCCGGAGCGGGATCGTCTTTCTTTGTTCTGCTTGTGGGAATAGGATCTGGCTTTGGTGTCGAGGGTGGTGAGAACGGCGTCTTGGTTGATAGCTTGGCTGTTGGCCCGTCGTTCCCCAATGCGCTTACGAATAACGTATGGAGTTCTATAACGAGCAGGACAGCTTTTTTCAGCAGTAAGATGAGGGCCGCCGCACAGAGAGCACTTAGGATCACAGTTGTGATCGAACGGAGGGTTGCGGGCCCTACAGCCTCGGCAAATCTTATTCTTTGGGTAGGGACAAACATCCATGCGGCGTCCCAGGTGGCCACACTGGTAGCAAATGTCAATTTGCTTTCAATAGAGCGAACATGGGAGTAACGTGGGCCCATAGCGGACCTTATAAGGCACATCCTGGCCGTCAAAGGCGATAACCACCGTTGTAGTTGAGGTGGATACGCTTGGCTGCCAGGGCCGTCGAATTTCGAGCAGTGACGATATTGTTGTGGATCTGCTGGGGGGTCTCCGTCAGTGGGATTTCACGGATGACCTCTTTGGTCGTGTGTTCAGCTGCGGTTCGTAGGCATTCACGTCGTGGGTGACGCCGTTCACTTGGATAGAACGAATGTGGACGTACCGGTCTGCATGGTCCGGGTCAGGTGTGCCGATGACAACGTTTTGTTGTATATTAGGGCAGACGGTATCTTTTATGCTTTCGTTATCGGTGAGCTAGGCTGCTTGGAGAATGGCTGCAGTCGCCACAGGACTGCCTACCTTGGCTATATGAAGGGCCCCCTCGAGGTGAATAACAGTCTTGATGTCCTTCTTGGGAAATGGGGGCATGCAGCCCGCCTTTAAAACTTGAGCTTTCACATGCTGCCTCGCTTGAGACTGGGGCTTATTACTTGGGTCTTAAGAGGATTCATCGGTTGGGGTCGAGTTGTCAGCGCCAGTGGTGAGCGGCGCGATCGAGCAGTGAGCCAGCCAGACTCAGTGGCCATGTCTTCAAGTGAAATATCCTGGCCAGCGACCTGGATCTTCATAGCGAAGACGAAGGTACGGGCTCGCGCTGGTGGGATATGCAGATGACACACGCCGAGGCGCGGCCGGCGCAGTCGTAGGCGAGACGACCGGCGAGCACGCCTAGGCTTAACCCGATAGGGGCGTGGTGGGTGGGCAGTACGGGGTGGTTTTTTGGTAAACGAGAAGTCCCACCTGTAAACAAGATGTCCCGTGAGTCCGGAGAACTTCACCAATCCTTTGGTGAAAAGTTTGAGTGGCTAGTTGCAAACAAAACTGCGAAAAGATTAGAGAAAACTGGAGCCGACGTGAACGCGCCCGCACTTCGTGGCAATCGCAGCGCTATCGATTTTATCAAAACTAAAAATTTTTTTTAAAGGGCCAGTCAACAGGTTCACTTTTTTTTACACCCCCCATACAAGATCGGCAATTCGTAGAGTAGACCACAGCAATCAAGTTTTCTGAATATTACAGAGCTGCGCGCCATGCACAGTCTCCATTTCGAAAAACGATTCCCGCGCTCCTTTTCTAAGCTTCGCTAATCTCCTTGCACACGCAGTGACAACAACTCTGCGATCAGCGACGTGACGTAGCACACAGCTCGTCGATTGGTCTAAACCAGGTCTCAACAAACAGTAGTGAAGTCAACGACTGTTCCTGTTCCCACCCACAGCTACAACAGAGCTATTCAATCATTCGAGTTGCAAAACTCCCCATAGGCTCCATGCATCGAAATCGGGACACTTCACTGACCCTGTCATTAGGAGTGAGCAGATTGTTGCGCAACCTATTGATAGGCACAGCCACTATTAAGCGCATTATTTGTCTTTTGTGTTGCTGCTCCCAGATAACGTGGTAGTCTGCTCCCAAAAAATCAAACTCCACAAAAAATTGGCCATCTTCATGTCGAGGTTTTGGAATGCAGTTTTGCTGCAAATCGTTGTCGGCTGCAAATTAAGCGACTGGGCTGCGGAGAAGCATTGGCACTGGGTAAATGGAAATTAACCAGGCATCGCAGCAAGCGGAAGTGCATTGGGGCTGATCTAGTTCGCCGATGACGTCAATCGCTGACGTCTTGTCACACTGCTGAAGTGGGTGGAGTCCCGACGAGGGGTCACGCCTTCCCCTTCCTTTGAAGAAGGGTGGCGAGACTGCGAGAAATTTTGAAACCAGCTGAACGTGTTGTTCTAGCCCCCTTTAACTTCCTAAATATAGCACGTATTCGCAGAATTCTTGCAGCAGCATGTTTACGAAGTAAAAGTGCACATATTTCTCTTTACAACAATTTTTGGACCTTGGGGTTGCTTACTGGTCTTTCAAGCATTTTTAAACCCTAATGGCAAGCAATGAACAGAAAGCAGATGTGTAAGGTCTACAAGATTATCAGCCATTTACTGCTGATCCGACCTTTTAAAGAAATTGTGAATTTCAAACTGCTTCTTTGATAAAAGTGCCTTCAGCACAAAGCTCTCCATACCAGTTGTGAAGCATAATGGTTTACCATGCATATGCTTCATTTCCAACATATACTTACTAGCAAAGCCTTTTTCCTTGAAGCTCTGAGGCGCTTATTTTTTATCTTTAGACTTGGAAATATATAAGCATGGAACTTTTTAAATTGTAGTGGGAAAGCAGCAGATATCTTTCGGTATGAACACCAAAAAGTATGAATTAACCAGATAGTGGAGTTTAAATTAAGAGGCTTTTAAATAGTATATTGAATGAATAAAGGGGCAATCGAAAAATAGAATTTTGTTTGAATTAACTGAAAGTACAAATTATCAGAGTTTGAATTATTGCGAGTCTACTGTATACATATTGTAGAAAGTATATATAGTGTTTATCTGATACATGCACAAAATTCATTGTCAAGTGATGCTTCATGCTGATTTTATGTGCACATCACAGGTTATCGCACGTGATGGACGGCCCATTATAATTTGTGAAAAAGGGGATGAAGAGACCAAGAAGATGGCCTTCAAGTATCTAGAAGTGCCGCACTCGGTGGACTGCCTCCAGGGAGTGTTGACTGTTATCCCACTTCAGCTCATGTCTTACCACATTGCTGTGCTCAAAGGTTGCAATGTAAGTGTGACTTCATGTACAATTACATTATTGTGAACTGTGTTATGGCAATAGGACTTCTGATGTAGAAAGCATGACTGGAAAATATAGAGCCTAGAAATCATTCATGTATTTGTTTAAAAACACAAGTCTGTTGCAGGATGGGCTGCTGACCTGCAGGTCGCGGGATCGAATCCCGGCTGCGGCGGCTGCATGTCTGATGGAGGCAGAAATGTTGTAGGCCCGTGTGCTCAGATTTGGTTGCACGTTAAAGAACCCCCAGGTGGTTGAAATTTCCGGAGCCCTCCACTAGGGCGTCTCTCATAATCATATGGGGGTTTTGGGACGTTAAACCCCACATATCAATTAATCAATCAATCAATCAGTCTGTTGCAGGAAACAAAATGGTTCCAAATAGTCGTGGTCATTTTTTTTTTGTTATGCCCTTGCATTGGTGTCTGTACTCAGCTTAGTGACATTTCCCATTGACTTCTGCTTGAAGACATAAGCATGCATTCTCAGCCTCCGAGTTCAAGTTTCTTGTGCACCAACAACCCTTATTCAAATTTTCAAGCTAAAAAAGAGCTCACTCGGCACATATTGACAGCTGGCTTCAATTTTTATTTTCTAATAAGGCTTTTAAATGTAACACATTGTTAGTAAAATAACAATTTCGTCATTTCATGAATTCCAGATTTCTTGCTACTCTGACTTGTGTTAGAGACACTGTGATATGTCCTGCAGGGTCTCGTACGACAGTCCTAATCCACAACTCTGGAATGTAACCTATTTTTGCAGCTACAGAAAAAAAAAAATGGTTGAATGTAGGCAACCTAATTGTTTAATCACTGACATCACTAGAAGTGTTGATATAGCAATTATGCCATTGCAAGAATTTTAAGACTTATTGTTGTGCTATGGAATTGGCATTTTGCTTCTTATTTTTTCATCAAGCTTCGTTACAAACAGAAATGTGTGCAATTCACTTAAAATCCTAGGAAAAACATTCTAATATACGCTCCTTACGTGCATTTTCCAGGAAGATTACATTTTGAGCTCCAGATGGTTTAATGTAGGACTTAACACCATTGCTTGCCTGTGATAAGTTGATTTCATTTATGAAGAAGTTAGCCATTGCTAAGGGGGCATTGGCATAAACTTCTTTCACCAACCCTGTTCCAAAAGCCATTCATTAAGGTTGGTTGCTTGTTGCTTGTTCCTTCAGAACAAGTGCAACCCTCCCAATACAGCTGTTTTTTGCAGCTGCCAGAAAAGGGTTTACCATAATACTGCTTTGGGAGCAGCTGGCCTCGTGATAAACTAAATATCTTTTTCTTGATGTCTAGGTGAGTAATAATGTCATTTGTTATGGTGCTAACATGAAGGCCATAAAATGCTGTCTTTTTACAAAATTTGAGCTACAACAGAGCAGCAGTAAGCGTTTCTGGAATATAGAGACACTGTTGTCTCTGAAATATAAAGGCAGAGTATTAAAGGTTTCCTAACAAAAGACTACCTTGATTGAAAAATGATTTCTTGCCTTCTTAGGAATGTTACCGTTTGACATGTCCCGCTGCTTTTCCTGCAGGTGGACTGCCCTCGGAACCTTGCAAAGTCAGTCACTGTGGAGTAAAGCCTGCAAGAGGTGCTGCTTGCTGCCGTGCTCATGTGCGATAGCCTTTGATGAAGCAAAATGGAATTATGCATATAACTATACAGTTTATACACATCTGCTGTTAGTGCAGCTTGAAATAGTTTTATATTCTGATACTAGCAAGACTGTGCTTGTCGAAGGAGTGGAGTAATGTGAGCAACAGCTGCGATTATATGTTTTAGAATGAATTTCTGTGAGACTGTTCTCAACTTTCATAGCTTATGTCATTTTTACAGTATGAAGAAAATTTTTAAATTTTTTTTGTTATTTTCAGCCTCCTCATTTACTGTCTTAGACTTGCTTTTATCTGCTATGCACTCGAAGTTTTTGCTTCTTGCAGTTATGCCCACAAGAACAGAATGAAATTTATATATTCATATTTTTGTTTGTTCTTGTATATATGCCGGTTTCGGTGCAGTTGTGCATTTGTTTTAGCGAGTGATTTGGAGGATGTGTGTCGCATGTCATTTATAATATAAAAACTGTAAATGAATCTCTTTACACTTGTTTTAATAAAAACTTTCCATATATGCCTATGCTGTTAGTTGCCATATTGTGGTTCTTGTTAAAGATATGGCATACCTTGTCTTCACAAGATGCCTTTCAGAATAAGGGTCATTGCCAATAATTTACATTAGGTGTGCCTCTTCTCCCACTTGAAAAAAAAAAAAAAAGATTATGCATTGAAATGTTTTCTGCAGAATGTCTGAAGTTAAATTACTAGAAAACATATTATACCCAGCTTTTCAGCTATTGCTACTATAATATGAAGGAACTGAGTGCAAAAATGTTTTTTTTGCCAAGATCATGAACTGGATGTAAGGGACTCGTGTAACGAATAGTGTATAAGAGACGCAGATGTGCACACATTAAAATATGGGTTGATTAGAAAATGCATCAGCAGTACGCTACTTATAATAGACACATCATATGAGAGAGAATAATTGTTCCCCAGTGCAAGTCTCTTATAAAGGGGTTTAAGGGTACATGCATAAGGCCATATTCTGCAGCTGATCAGTCAATGCACCATATTGTATCATTTCTGTGGTTGTGAGGCATAAAAAATGTTGCCCAGTAACTTCAGATAATGCTGTCTATGCAACCTTCCGTAGGCTAGGCTAAAGCGAATCTCTAGTCGTCCTATGAAAAGTAGAGAATTTTTACGGACTCACAAGTATATAATTTGGTATTAAAACGTTTTGAGATTGGGTTTGTTTTGAGGAAGTAATATATTTACGTGCATTTCTACACTGCCATCTTTCAAAAAGTGTTCCTTGTGTTCATTCCACTCCAACAATATGTCCCAAACTTCTCCTTTAAAGGAGAAGTTGAGCACCTTTCTTCACTGCTGCCATGTTTTAAAATGATTATATCAAAACAGCAACACTAGAGCTAGCTTGGTTTCAATTTTTGTAAAAGTGAAATAAGCAGCTGCAAATTCTTCGAATAAATCTTATTTCTTGTCAAGCTAGGTTCATTGCTAGAAATTACTCATTGGTTTACGGATAAGAACAAGTAATCGCAGCAAAAAAGTCTTTCCACAGACTCGGGAAAAAAAAGCATAGCTAAACAGCATTCTCATGTGCGCTTTTTTTTTGATATCGAGCATCAAGAATTTGATTGAAGTGGCTAGACTATGAACCATTGAGAGTTTTGCAGCAAAGTTGGTACCCGTTTGAATCGAAGTTGGACGTAACACATTGAATTACCCAGAACATAAGTTTCGAAAAAGTATCGATATTACAAAATTACAAGGAAGTGTTGTAAAAGCTGAACATTTTCTTTTAATTTTGTAATATAAAATATTTTCCAAAACTAACGTTCTGGGTAATTCGACTATAGTGACTGTGTATATCGTTGCTGGTAATGACTGTTCAACGTGTTTTCCTTGCTTGGCAAAAGAGAGACTGAGGCCGAGTTTACTTCCCTCTAATTCAGCTTCTAATCCCCGTAGATACAGCATAAATAACAGAGGTGACAAGGGAAAGCCTTGTTGAAGCTCCTGTTGTACCTCTATAGGCTTGGATACCTGTATTTCTAACTTTATAACTACTTCGTTACTTTTATAGATGTTTTTTTAAAAGATTATTACTCCATCTCTGACATCCACACTGTCCAGTATTCCCTGCAAGTCCTCTGAATCACACTATTGTAAGCTGCCTTGATATCTAGAAATAACCAGCCACATGGGCCTTTACTCTTTTTTTCCTCTATTTCACTGCACTGCTTCAATGAAAATAGATTATCCTCCTACCTCGTTTGTTTACAGAATACATTTGCTAGTTCCCCCAGTACCCCCTCATTCTACACCAATGCCTGCAGTCTTTTCTTTACTATCTGCATCACCAGCTTGTAAACTAGTGATGTCACTGTTATAGGACATAGTTGTTTATATCAGTTTTGTCCTCCTTTCCTTTATAGATCATGCTCATCCTGCTTAGTTTCCATTCATGGGGGCTTCGCCATCCATTATTGCTTTGCTTGATTCCTCTACTAATAATTGCTTAGTTTGGACCTAATTTCCTTATAAGCATGATTGGGACACCATCAGGCCCTGTGGATGTGCTTATTAGGAACCCTCTTCTCTGCACTTTCCCACTCGTTATCCCAGTGAAGCTACTATGATAATTGGTCTATTCTCATCTGTTGGGGTGCATACATTGCTTTCTTGTTTTTTAGATTTTTCAGTCATTATTGTTCTTGTATATCCTATCGCCTCATCCCCTTCTAGCCTAACCCCTTGAACTGTTGTCATAAACCTCTGTTCCAGGCTTGTCTTATGCCCCGTTGTGGTGGTCTAGCGGCTAAGGTACTCGGCTGCTGACCCGCAGGTCGTGGGATCGAATCCCGGCTGCATTTCTGATGGAGGCGGAAATGTAGGCCCGTGTGCTCAGATTTGGGTGCACGTTAAAGAACCCCAGGTGGTCAAAATTTCCGGAGCCCTCCACTACGGCGTCTCTCATAATCAAACGGTGGTTTTGGGACGTTAAACCTCGCATATCAATCAGGCTTGGCTTATTGCTCTGAGAATTAAGATGGTTCCAAAACTTGCAGCTGCCTTTTTATCCTTTTTTGTTCACTTCCACCATCCATTGGGCCCCCTTTCTTCTTATCTTTTCACTGATCAAATCGGACGCTTCCCTTCTGCAGCTCAAAAAGTTATCTAATTTTCTTTTGACATCATCTTCTGGTACACCCCTTTGTTTAGCATACCTGTGTTTCATAGAGGCTTCTGATGTTTTACTATGGGCCTCTTAACTACCTCATCCCACCACCTCTTGGGTTTGGGTGTCCTTTTCCTAGTTGATTTGACTCGTACCTTAGCAAGCTCTAACTCAAATAATCAAGTTAGATTTGTGTACGTCCACTCTGTTCTAATATCCTTGGTGATTGTTTTCTTAATCCCTTTAGTTGCTGTTTCTATTTGCCTTTCTGAATAAATAGTACCATGTGGTTGCTCAGAATGCCTCCTTCCCACTTTCATTGCTCTTCCAAAACTTAGCTTGATATGTTTGTGATCACTACCCAGACTTCTGGAGCCACATTCACCTATGTGCATTCCCCTGTGCCTATCATACATCCTATGTGACATCAGTGCATAATCTATCGTCGAGTGCAGCCTTCCCACCTTATATGTTATCTGCTCTTCACACTTCTCGGTACAGTTGCAAATGATCAAATCATAGCTTTCACACATATCCGTTAGCATTCTGCCTGTTGGATCAGTTTATAAATCCATATCTTCTATGAGTGGGTTCATATGTCCAAATATAATTATCTGGCACTCTTTTTATAGTTCATCTATGTCATTTTCTATGCACTGCACCATTTCTTGGTTTTCCTATCTGGCTTTTGCTCCTGTCCACAAGTATAGAAAACCCAAGAGCATCATCTGCTCTACTGCTTTTCCTTTTAACCATGAATGTTCCCTGTACTCCTGCTTGACCCTTTGCCAGCCTGTACTGATGATATTACGACAAAAAAAAAAAAAAACGCCCAGTGGCGGCTGATCTTAGGTGGCAATTGGGCAGTGGCAATCCTAGGAATCAAGCAGCAGCACCACAGATCAGAGATGAGCAGCACTAAGGTAAAAAAAAACACAATCTATGTGACCAAAACTGTAGGTCTGTCAGATACTTATTTTACTCAAAGGCAATCGGATTGCCTTATGGTAAAAATGCATTATCATGGTGACATTAATTATTCACATCTTAGTAAATAAGTATGGAAGATGACAGCGTTTAATAAAGCTAGAACTGATACCTGTGGCATAAAAAAAATATCATCCTGCAATCAAAATAATCCTCTGTCATAGAGCAATTTATTGCAGTCAAAATGCACTGAAGCTCGCCAATTTAGAAATGGAGCATATATGTGGACCTTTGACTATTCAATGTACTGAAATGTCCGTGTTTTTCGGAGTTGAAATATCCCTTGAACAACACTTGTTCAGACAGGGACACATTCCAGATATGTGTGTTGGCCATGACTCTTGTGTTGAATATTTGGAGTGATGTGTCCCTATTATGTAGCAGCAGCGAGTGCTGTCAACAAGTGTTTTCTTATGAATAAGATGCAAGCATGCGGCACGATACACGAGGCGTGAGCATGCGCAGTGGGGATACGGACAATGCCAATGCACGAAGCGTCACATCATGCAACTAAGAAATGCTCCATATTTAAAACCTGGTTTCCAAACTCGAGAAGTTGCCCATAAGTGGATCATGAGAAAAACGCATTTCAAAAGGCATAAGTGAAAGGTCGTCTATGCAGAAAATGTTTTTTAATGATTTCTTCCATCATGAGAGCTTGGCAATTATGGTTATTTTGAGCATATTGCTTTAGTGAACTCCTCATACGAAATGCAATGGCAAGCAGCCAGGCGACTATTTCCACGGGACTCTAATAAATTAGCTTTTTTAGGGGCCGTGTGTCTGTACATGCATGTCTCTCTTGCTACGTGATCACTTAGTTCTAAGACTCACTCAGCAGGTGCGGACGGACAGACAGACAGCCAAATGGACTGACCGAGGATTCACAGTTTACTGATAAAACCCTCCGAAGCTTTGCCCTGCTCATCATCATTCACTCCATGGATATGCTGTAATTTTTGTTTAATTTTTAGTAGCCAGCTTGTGCTTTTTAAAAGCCATTTTAACCTACCTCAAGTTCAATTACAATTTTCAGTTTTTTTATTGAGAAAGTAGAGAAAGAGGCTAAACTTGTGAAAGTAAATAAAAATTAAAGTACGTTATTTTGAAAAAGACTTCCATTTTTCAACTCGCATCTCACCTTAACTGCCCTTATGCAGAATAAGCTTCGGAACACCGAGAGACACTTTATGGTGCAGAGGGCTAAACAGGAAATCACTGTGCACTGGTATAGCCAAGAAAAAATAGTGACAGTCCGTAAGCATGTTTTTCGTAAGTGCAGATAAAAAAGAAAAAAGAAAGTAGAAAATGTGGTTGTTTTATATCGAAATAATAACTACAACGGTGAGTTATGTTTGTCTTAGCAAAAATGGCAGCTGCCTTCT